TCAATAGTATCAAATTTTAGTATGGGATCAATGGTATCAGATTTTTGTTTGGTATCAATGGTATTAGATTTTGGTAATAGTTGCCGGTTATATTTGGTGGAAGTTTTAGTTTGGGATCAATGATATTAGACATTGGTGATAGTTAGCAGTTATACATGGTGAAGGAGACCATCTATTGTGAGGAGATTGACCTAAATTATTATTGAAAACATTAAAAACATCTTTATGCATATAGCTGAAATCATTAACAGTAAAAGAATGTTTAGTGTTATTTATGATGAAATCTTCATTGAAGATATTCAATGAAAAATCTATTTTAACACCAGTTTGATTAAAACGATGATTATAAATAATTTTTTTAAAGTAACAAAAAATAGAATAGATATGAGTACGAAATGGAAAAAAATAAGTTGACTGAGTTCAAAAATCTAGAAAAAAAAAGATCAAAAGCTATAAATGGATGAATATTATGTAAAATTTTACAATTTTTTTCTTTTTGTCAAAAGTCTAAGAAAGTATTACAATATATATATATACATTAAATGATAAAAATTGTATATGTAAAAAACTATTTTTTTAAATAAAAGAAAAAAGCATTTCAAATGTAACAGATTTAATAACTAATGACAAATAATCTTCTTAACTAGGATAACTTTTGGTCAAATAACCATTAAAAAATTGGGTCAAAAACAGTTATAATTTATCCAATAAGCATCGATTCGTAGCTTTTGATCTCTTTTTGAGATTTCCGAACTCAGTTACCTTATTTTTTTTTTCATTTCATACTCAGGTCTCTTCTATTTTTTTGTTGCTTTAAGAAATTATTTATAATCATCATCTGATCAAGCTAGTGTTAAAATGGATTTCTCATTGAACATCTTCAATGAAGATTTCATCATAAATAACACTCATTTTATTTTACTGTTGATGACTTCATCAATATACATAAAGTTTAAAATTTTCAATGATAATTTAGGTTAATCTTTGCTCAAAGGATAGTCTTCTCCACCAATTATGACTGCTAACTATCACCAACAGTAATGGGTATTGATTCATATTTAGAAACCGTTACTTTTGAGGAGCTTATAAATAACATAGCCAACAACAACACAGCCTATAACTCCCCAATCTCAACAGAATCTATAGGTATATTCGACTTTTTTCATGATCCTTGGAGAAATACTATATGGGATGATGTTATATTTAACAAAGGCTTATAACTATTGGTAATAAACCAATTGTTGATAACTTTATAGCTGAATCTCATTCATTTGGTCTTTTGGTGGGTGGAGATATACAAATTATAGAGGTCATGAATCAGCATTAATATCAAGTGATGACACAAACCGATCAAAAGAAGAATAAGAAAACGATGAAGAAAAAAAAACAGTTGTAAAAAACTAACATTATCCGAGGAAGATGGACGAAATCTGAAGATAGGTAAGTTTTAATATTATTTTATCTACCAAACTAAAATCAAAAATCAAAAAAATTAACTTATAGTTACATCTTCGTAGCTTTCATTAATACTTTTTTGTGTTTGATATTTTTTGAAGAATGTTATCATGTGTTAATGTGTTGAGATATGTAAATATATAGAAAGTTGAAAGAACTAATGGAACACCATGAGATCAAAAATGGGTAACAATCACAAATATAATCGTAGGACGAGAAGAAAACAAATGTAGAGAGAGATGTCACAACCATATCTGTCCCCATCAATGTGATTTGTTTTCTCTCAAAATATTTCTTGTTTTACCATTATCATGATACATAAGTCATCGTTTATCATTAATTAAGAGGATCTATGCACTTACAAACATATGTATAATATATTGATATATATATATATATAATGTGAAAATTAACACATGATATATATATATATATAGCCCAAAAGACAAAATCGAGGGTCGATGAGTTTACATTATCAGTGTATTATATAAGATTTGTTTGAGTGATTTAATTTTTGTTTATGTTTCTTGGATGTAAGAAAAATCATTAGGAGAAAGGGGAAATAAACAGAAATTTTGTATTTGTGTTTGTTTGATGAAAGGTAGTTTAACAGAGATAGTATTTTTCTCAAATTTTCATATGTCCGTTTCTTAGATATCATGTGGAAATATATCAAAGGTGCTTTTAAAAAATAATCATATTTTATTAGAATAGAATATATAGTTATGTAGTTAATTATAATTATGAAGGACACATATAAATTTTCTATGATTTTGTTTCCGTTAATTGTAGGTGAGACATGTCAATATTCGGAAAGCCATATGAACAGTATTTCAAATCTCAATCTAAAAAAGACGTTATTATATTAGAAACAAAAAAAAATATATTTTCTTTCTTTTAAAACCTAATTTAGCTTTCCTATGTTGACCCAAAAATATATATGCCCTCTATTTATCTCTTTTTTATGTGAACAAAAAATATATGTGCTTTCTATCTACATCTTTTCTATGCAACTATATCTTATTTTTGTCTTTTTATATTTCAATGTTTTAGATATTTACTATATAGAATAATTTATTTTTGCAAATTAATATAAATATTTGATTTTTTTTACATAAGATTGCGTCAATATATAAATTAATTATATATTTTAGAAATATAGAGAAGCATTTTGGCATTTTCTGTTAATTCTATATTGCCATTTAGACTAAATGCTTATAAGGTAAGTTATAACTGTTTTTGACCCACATGCTTTTATGGTTATTTGACCAAATTGATCATAATTAATTAGATACATTTGTCTGCCGTGATTAAATTTGTTACCTTTTAATTTTTTTTTTCTTTTATTTTGAAATACTATTCTATATATACAATTTTATCAACTAACATATATTGTCACACTTTCTTAGATTTTTGAAAAAAGTAAAAAAAAATTCTAAGATTTACATAAGTTTAATCCCTTCATAGCTTTTGATTTCTTATTCCTGATTTCTTAACTCAGTCAATAAATTTTTTCTATTTCATACTCAGATCTATTTTAATTTTTGTTTGCTTTAACAAATTATTTATAATCATCATGTAAATCATACTGGTGTTGATATGGAGTTCTCATTGAATATCTTCAATGAAGAATTCATCATTAATAACACTCAGTATTCTTTTACTTTTGATGACTTTGGCTATATACATAAAGATCGTTTTAATTTTTTCAATACTAATTTAGTTTAATCTTCTCTCAATGAATGACCTTCTCCACCAATTATGACCGGTAGCTATCACCAAAGTCCAATATCATTGATCCTAGTCAAAAATCGTCCACCAAATATGACTGGCAACTATTATCAAAATTCGATACCATTGATCACTGATCAAAATCTGATATCATTGACCCCAGACCAAAATACAATACCATTGTTCACAAATCAAAACTATAGTTATTGAGTTGTCAATGGAACGTAGTTTTCGTTTGCGAATAGTGGTATCGGATTTTTGTCTGGAATCAATAGTATCAGATTTTGGTATGGGATCAATGGTATCAGATTTTGGCTTAGTATCAATGGTATCGGATTTTGGTAATAGTTTTCAGTCATATTTGGAGGAAATTTTAGTTTGGGATCGATGATATTGGACATTGGTGATAGTTAGCAGTTATACTTGGTGAAAGAGACCAAATATTGTGAGGAAATTGACCTAAGTTATCATTGAAAACATTAATTAGATCTTTATGTATATAGCTGAAGTCATTAACAGTTAAAGAATATTGAGTGTTATTTATGATGAAATCTTCATTAAAATATTCAATAAAAAATCCATTTTAACACCAGTTTGATTCAGACGATGATTATAAATAATTTTTTTAAAGCAACAAAAAAAAAACAGAATAGATATGAGTATGAAATGGAGAAAAATAGATTGACTGAGTTCGAAAATATATAAAAAAAAAGATCAAATGCTAAAAATGGATGAATATTATGTAAAATTTTAATATTTGTTTCTTTTTGTCAAAAGTCTAAGAAAGTGTTACGATACATATATTAAATGATAAAAATTGTATATATAAAAACTAATTTAATACAAAACGAAAAGCATTTAAAATATAACAGATTTAATCACTAATGACAAATAATCTCATTAATTAGGATGAATTTTGGTCAAATAACCATAAAAATAAGTGCGTCAAAAACAGTTATAATTTATCCAATAAGCATCTAGTCTAAATAGCAATATATAATTAACAGAAAATACCAAAAATTCTTCTCTATCATTCCAAAATATAGAATTAATTTACGGATTGATGCAACTGAGAACAGTTCTTACAAAACATAACTGAGACGATACAATAATGTAAAGATAAGGGCTTGAAGATTTATCTCATAGATTGTCACAAAGATTCAAAAACCTTATACCTAATAAGATTGCTCTAGTCGCCTGACTGGATTTATATTTGAAAACAACTATCAATAAATCCAAGAACAAAACATGGTCATTAGACGCTCGAGCAGCTGAAGCTGAAATTGAGGTTTTAACAAATCTCTCCAAAAACGAGGGTAATGATAGATTAAACATCTCCATAAAGGAGGTGTTTGGCCGGTGCAAGACGCCATGGTGAGTCTCCTCCTTTGCTTTGCTTCCTTTGAGCTCTCCTATATGCATCCACTCCAACACCAGTTGCTAGCAAGCTTCCTTAGCCTCCATAGAACCTTGATAACGCCTTCAAAATGCAACAAAACGTGCAATGCATACCTAGACACAAGCTCTCTATATTATGAATGCAAAGGAGACCTAAAATGATAGTTTAGGCATGAAAGAGACTTAAAAACATATGATTATTCAAGCCTAAATGATGTAAATATGCAAGCTATCAATCCCAAACAAAAATCTGATACCATTGATGTCAGACTAAAATCTTATACCACTATTCACAAAGCAAAACTACGATCCACTCAATAAAAATTTGGTTACCACTCAAAATCTTCCTATTTACAACCCCCACATAGCTGAAATATCATCTGAATATCTATTTGTGGGTATTGATTCCTATTCAGGAACCGATACTTTTAAGGAGCTTATAAATAACATAGTCAACAACAACATGACCTATAACTCCCCAATATCCACAGAATCTGAAGGTATATTCGACATTATTCATGATCCTTGGAGAAATACTATACGGGATGATATGATATTTAACAAAGGCTTATAACTATTGGTAATAAACCAATTGTTGATAACTTCATAGCCGAATCTTATTCATTTGGTCTTCTGGTGGGTGGAGATATACAAATTAGAGAGGTCATGAATCGGCATTAAGATCAAGTGATGACACAAACCGATCAAAAGAAGAATAAGAAAGCGATGAAGAAAAAAAACCGCTGAAAAAAACCAACATCATCCGAGGAAGATGGGCGAAATCTGAAGATAGGTAACTTTTAATATTATTTTATCTACAAAACTAAAATCTAAAAACAAAAAATTAACTTATAATTACATCTTCGTAGCTTTCATTAATACTTTTTTACGCTTGATATTTTTTGAAGAATGTTATCATATGTTATTGTGTTGAAATATGTAAATATATAGAAAGTTGAAAGAACTAATGGAACTCCATGAGATCAAAAATGGGTAACAATCGCAAATATAATCGAAGGATGAGAAGAAGAAAAAATGTAGAGAGAGATGGCACAACCATATCCGTCCCCATCAAGGTGATTTGTTTCTCTCAAAATATTTGTTGTTTTACCATTATCATGATACCTAACTCATCATTTATTATTAATTAAGTGGATATATGCACTTACAAACATATATATAATATATCTATATATATGTATATAATTTGAAAATTAAATATATATAATTTATTAAGTGGCATCAGTTTCAAAAATTCATATATAAGTGGTACGCATATATAATACTATTACTAAATATATAAACTCAAAAAAATAAAATTGTAAAACTTAATTTTTCTTTATAGTTAAAATGTGCATGAACTTTAGTTTTTTCTGATCAGAATAAACTTTCTTGTTTCATCGAAGTAAATCAAAAAAAATAAAACTAAGAATAATATCAATCATCAGTTCAAATTTATATATATATATATATATATTATGAGCATTATTTGAATATGTATACACTTAATATAAATAATATATGATTTAGAGATATGTTGGAATGAAGAAGAAGATCAAATATTGGTTGATGCTCACAAAGTTTCTGGTACCACATGGACTGAGATTGCCCAGCAACTTTCTGGACGAAGCGAAAATGCTATAAAGAATCATTAGAATGCCACAAAGCGTCAAATCATGCAAACTAAGAATAATGATGAAAATGCAAACCCGCCCACAATAACATCCTTGAGAACTATCTAAATGATGCCACAATCAACAACAAGCCTTCCAAGACAGCTGAAGTCGTTAGTATAACCAAAAGCACTATGGGTAATGTGAATGTAAGGATATTTATGATGAGGAGATGAATTTGAGTTTAAAGGTTATAGCCTACAAGACAAAATCGAGGGTCGATGAGTCTACATTATCAATGTATTATATAAGATTTGTTTGAGTGACTTGATTTTTGTTTATGTTTCTTGGATGAAAGAAAATTATTTGGAGAAAGGGGAAAAAAACAGAAATTTTGTATTTGTGTTTGTTTGATGAAAGATAATTTAATAGATTTAGTACTTTTTTCAAATTGACATATGTTCGTTTCTTAGATGTCATGTGGAAATATATCAGAGTTGCTTTTGAAAAATAATCATATTTTATTAGAATTGAATCTATGGTTATGTAGTCAATCTTAACTATTATTTGAGAAGCACCTTAATGAAAAAATCTGATCTGTCATCACCTTAGCAAAAATTAGTGCAAGTCAATGCCACCTCATAAATGTGACATGGCAAATTTCCTAAAATAAACGAAATGGTTTTATTGGTTAAGTTAAAACTTAATAAATCTCATTTTTAAATAAGAAAATTTTATATCATATATAAATGAATTTTCATTATATAACAAAAACTAGGTGATTGACGTGCACCGTATGCAGGCTATAAAATATTTTATATGTTAAATTCTGATTCATATAGTATTGAAGATGTTTTATATTTGTATGATTAATTATATTAATAATAAAATAATATACATTTGATAATAAAAAATAAAGATAAATTAAATATAAAATATTATATATTTCAATAGAGAATGAAAATAAAAAATATTAACAAAGATTTTAATATATTTTTAGATAAAAAATGTAAATATGGTAACTAAATAAACGGGAGAACATTAAAATATATAATAATTTATTTAATTTTTATTTTTGATCTGCATGCATGTGCAAGTATAATTTTTTTATAGACATAATTAGTTGGAATATTTAAGTATTGATTAATTTTCTTATACATTATGTAGATGTTATGTTTTTATACATATACAATTTTAGTGTTAAACAACAATCACACAAATGTTTCATATCATTTTGTGTCTTTTGAAAACTTTTTTAATTTTCCTAGCGTTTACAGTAATATGTAATTGCAAATATAAAAGTTATATTAAATAATAATATATTTTGAATATTATCTATATAATACTTTATTTTTCTCTTTACATAATATAATCCTGCCAATATATATATTTTAAGTAAACATTTTTCCTTTACCTATTGCTAATTAAATCAAAATGAATTCTACCATATTTATTTATCCTAAGAGCTGTGAGGTGTGGAAGCCCCCTTAGCCCATTGGTTTAATAAAGGTTTATTAATGATTCTACACCAGGAGGTCTGGGTTTCAAATCCCAGCGAGCGCGATTTATTCTTAATTATGCAGATTAATGAAGAATAATGCAAATTAATGGAGGAAAGCTTACAAGAGATCTTCATCGTGGTGCAAGGAGAATCGTAATTAAAATTAGAGTGTAATCGAGGTTAACAAAATATATGCACGGCAAGTTTGCATTCAAGTTTGACTTTTGCACAACTAATATTTATATCAATATGCATATTTTTAAGAAAATCGAAGTATGGATTTTATGTGTTAAAAAAATAACAAAGTATATGTTTTGTAATATATACTTTTATAATGTATGGTTGATTTAAAAAAATAATAATAAGTATATTTGTGCATGTATGTATGAGTTAGAAATAAGTGAATTGTAATATTTAGGTGTTGGTAAGTTTTTTCTGGTATATTCTGCAAACGTTATCTTTTTAGACGATGCAGTTATTGGCGTTTAACAACAATCACGAAAACCATTTCTATTGTTTTGTATTTAATCAAAGTTTTTTACTCTTCAGCGTTTGATAATATAAGGTTTCTCAATAAAAATATAATAAACATTTATTATAAAATTTGTGAAATAATATTTTATAAAATTCTCCGGTAGCTCTCCGTACATCTCTTCTTCAAAAATTTTATAATCCGCAATCGCTCGCTTCCACAAACTCTCTGTAACCGAATCATTTAAACTAATCGGATCTAAACTTATATGTGTATGATTTAAAGTGTAAAATAATATATTGAATATTTGATTGTTATTAAAAAGTAATAGTTGACCTGTTTCTAACTTTAATATATTTGTTAATATAAAATATAAAGGATCACAACATATACAAACTTGATTCATGAAATAATGTTTTAATATGTTAGAAAAAATATATGCATTAAAGAATTAATATGTGTAAGATAATATTTAAAAATATTTTCAATAAAACTTAAAATCGATCAAAATTATTCTATTTATTTTTTTGTCTTCTTTGACTCATACTTTTTTCTTAACATTTAATAATATATTAAACATTAAGATCATCTTCAATGTATTTTTCTATTTTTTTCTTTAAAATATAAGTGAACTTCTCTCCAACTTATTTCTATTTTATAGAAATAAAGATTGTTATTCTTTCCTCTATAATTGGAGGAAAAAATGTCAACCTTTCTTTTTTTCTCTGAAATTAGAAGTTTTTAAATAAAAGTGGGTTGAAGATGTATTAAACAAACAATACAGCCTGAGATTTTTACATAAAACCAAAGTCGTAAAGATTTATTTTTACTTTTACTTCTACTTTTTATGCATGTATACATTATTATATTAAAAAAATTTAGCTAACAGGATACTTATAATTTATTTTTCTATCTGTTTATTTTTTGTTTCATTTATAATTTCGAATTCTTTTTATAAAATGAGAATTCATCCATATACGATATAAACTTTTTTTTTATTTGAAAATGAGATTTATTTAGTTTTAACTTAAACAATCAAAACATTTCCTTTATTTTAGAAAATTTACCATGTTACATTTATGAGGTGGCATTGTTTTGCACTAACTTTTGTTAAGGTGATGACACATCAGATTTTTTCATTAAACATGCTTCTCAAATAATAGTTAAGATTCAAAATTATCAATGAAACAAAACAAAATGAATCTTTACCACTTTGATTTTATGTAAAAATCTCAAGCTATATTTTTTGTTTGAAGCATTTTCAACCCACCTTTATTTTAAATCTTCTAATTTAGGGGAAAAAAGGTTGTTATTTTTTCCTCCAATTATAGAGGAAAAAATAAAAATCTTTTTTTTCCTGTAAAATAGAAATATGTTGGAGAGAAGTTCACTTATATTTAAAGGAAAAAAATAGAAAAATACATTGGAGATGAACTAGAATGTTTAATATATTATCAAATGTTAAAAACAAATATGAGTCAAAGAAGACAAAAAAAATAAATAAGGATAATTTTGATCGATTTTAAGTTTTTATTTGAAATATTTAAAAATATTATCTTACACATACTAATTCTTTAATGCATACATTTTTCTAACATATTAAAAGATTATTTCATAAATCACGTTTTGTATATGTTGTGATCCATTATATTTTATATTACCAAATATATTAAGTTAAGAACACATCAACTCTTAATTTTTAATAACAATCAAATATTGAATATATTATTTTACACCTTAAATCATACACATATATGTTTAGTTCCGATTGATTTAAACTATTTGGTTACATAGAGTTTGTGGAATCGAGTGATTGCGGATTATAAAAAATTTGACGAAGAGATGAACGGAGAGCTACCGGAGAATTTTATAAAATATAATTTCACAAATTTTATAATAAATGTTTATTATGTTTTTATTGAGAAACCATATATCATCAAACATTGAAAAATAAGAACCTTTGATTAAATACAAAACAATAGAAATTGTTTTCATGATTGTTGTTAAACGCCAAAAAATGCATAGTCTAAAAACATACCAACACCTAAATATTACAATTTACTTATTTCTAACTCATACATACATGTACAAATATACTTATTATTTTTTTTAAAATAATCAACATATAAAAGATATACTTTGATTTTCTTGTAAATATGCGTGTATATATAAATATTAATTATGCAAAAGTCAAACTCGAATGCAAACTTGTCGTGCATACATTTTGTTAACCTATTACGCTCTATTTCTAATTTTAGTTGTTAGACAATTTATATTTTTTCAAAAAAAATTATGTATCCTAAGAGCGGTGAGGTGGTAGGTACGCACGAATGTGTGGACCAACCATCTACCCGCTCTTAGGATAAATAAATATAGTTTAATTAGCAATAGGTCAAGAAAAAATATATACTTAAAATATATATATTGGCAAGATTATATTATGTAAAAAGAAAAAGAAAGAAGTATATAGATAATATTCAAAACATATTATAAAAATTAAATTATTATTTAATATAATTTTTACATTTGTAATTATATATTACTGTAAACGCTAGGAAAAATATAATGTTCTCAAAAGACACAAAAAGACGAAACATTTGTGTGACTGTTGTTGAACACTAAAATTGTATATGTATAAAAAACATAACATTTACATAATGTATAAAAAATTAATCAACACTTAAATATTACAACTAATTTTGTCTATAAGAAAATTATACTTGCACATGCATACGGACCAAAAATAAAAAGTAAATAAATTATTATATATTTTAATATTTTCCTGTTTATTTAGTTACCATATTTACATTTTTTATCCAAACAAATATTTTAAAATTTTAGTTAATATTTTTTATCTTTATTTTCAATTGAAATATATAATATTTTATATTTAATTATCATTATTTTTTATTATCAAATATTTATTATTTTATTATTAATACATAATTAATCATACACAAATAAAACATCTTTAATACTATATTAATCATAATTGAACATATAAAATATTTAATAGCCTGCACATGGTGCAGGCCGATCACCTAGATATAATTATGAAGGACGTGTATAAATATTCTATGATTTTGTTTCCTTTAATTGTAGGTGAGATATGTCAGTATCCGGAAAGCCAAATAACAGTATTTCAAAACTCATTCTAAAAAAAACCATTATTATATTAGAATAAATATATAGAAAAATATACTTTCTTTTTTTTTAAACCCTAATTTAGCTTTCCTATATTGGCCCAATAATAAATATGCCATCTATTTATCTCTTTCTTATGTGAACCAAAAATATATGTGCTTTTTATCTA